CCGAACCCAGATCTCCATATATCCCTGAAGTAAGGACGATACCCTAAGGCTCTAAGGACTCATAATTTAAGGCTTTTGGGCCCAAAGACCATACTATACAAGGCTTTTGGGCTTTTTTGAGCCTTAGGGATACACCGTAAATCCTTAGGGATCCTAAAGCCGCGATGTAAGGCAAATCTTCCTTTTTTTGATCCCAAAGTCGTGATCTAAGGCAAATAATCCTCAGTTGAAACTACCCATAGGCCCCATCGTAGTTCCTTTTTTCTGATTACTTTCTAGGATCCTAAACATGAGCCCCCAAAAAGGAACTGCTATGGGACCCTAAACCCTAAACCCTAAACCGCCTATGGGTACTTAAGGGATATTGGAAGACCTGCGAAGATCCTGTTTTCGATCGCGGTCGGCGCAAGGATCGCTCGCGAAAAGCACCGCAGACCCGAAACCCCCAAAACCCTATCCCTAGAGCTCCAAGTATACAAATTGTACCTACTTTGGGGTCTAAAGTCTGCAAATAATACCTACTTTGGGCTATTTGGAGCCCCAGGGTATACCCTAAACCCCTAAACCAAGCATGACGCAAGAAGGCCCGATCTTGAGCTTTCACGGTTTATAGGGTTTATTATATGGTTTAGGGTGCAGGGTGGCTTTCGGTTCTGTAAATTCACAAGGCTCCTGAGCCTTATGATTGCCCTAAACCGTACGTTCCCTTTCTTCCGCAATCATCCTGTTGACACTGCTTAGCATCCGGGATCAGGCTCGGCTCACCTCAACCCCCTAAACCCTGAACCATAAACCCCTAATCCTAAACCGTCAACACTCAACCCTAAACCGTAAATCCTGAGCTCTTCAAGACTACATCCTGCAGCATAAGACCTCCGAACCCTAAACCCTGAGCCCGAAATCAGCCCCCGAGACCCCAAACCGCAACCCTGAACCCTAGACCCTGAGCCGCAAATCTCGTGCACCGTACCTCCCAACACCAACAAAAAGAAACTCTCCCGGTGCAGCCTCCCTTTCCTGGTTTCAAAGATGTGCGGTTTAGGGGCAGGTTTAGGGCTTGGGGGTGTATACATTTATAACGTTCCTGTGACCCCAAACCCCACAAAATAGTAGGTTATGACCCCTTAATTAGAGGGTAGAGCCCGTAAAACGGTAGGTTTTTGGATTCCCAGGTAAACCCTAAACCCTATACCCTGAACCCTAAACCTTAAAACCCTAAAGCCCTAAACCCTAAAACCCTAAACCCTAAAACGGTAGGGTTTTTGGATTCCCAGGTCTACCCTAAAAAGTCATCTCCCGAATTTGACTTCCCAACCCCAGGGACCCCGCAGACAGCCTCAGCCCTGAAATTTGGGGTTTAGGATCTACGGTTTGGGGTTTAGGGTATGGTTTAGGGTTTAGTGCTTATAAGGTTTAGGGTTTAGGATCTACGGTTTGGGGTTTAGGGTATGGTTTAGGGTTTAGAGTTTAGGGTTCAGGGTTTAGGATCTACGGCTTGGGGCTTAGGGTATGGTTTAGGGATTAGAGTTTGGGGTTCAGGCTTTAGGATCTACGGTTTGGGGTTTAGGGTATGGTTTAGGGTTTAGAGTTTAGGGTTTAGAGTTTAGGGTTTCGGATCTACGGTTTGGGGTTTAGGGTCTGCTTTTTTGGATGTGGCGCTTGGCTTTTTGGCTGCGGCGTTTGGGGCTTTAGTGGTTTCGGCTTTGCGTTTTCGGGATAGGGGTTTGGGATTGGATTCAGGCTGTATGGCTCATTGCCATATCCGAAAGAGGCTACAAGTTGGGGCCTAGGTACTATAAACCCTAAGCCTACTGAGCTCTACACCGCGAGCTCAGAAAGTCTACAGCCTACACGCCGGCTGAAGTTAAACTCTTGTGAAAGCCGACGCCACCCTGTAAATCGTTATGAAACCCTATCCCTAAGGGTCCATGTGCTCATATAGTATATACATTGGCCCCAAAGTACCCATATAGGGACTACTTTAGGGCCAAAGTATCTATTATTTGGGTACATGGACCCTTAGGGTATAAACATCAGGTAAACCATCATAAACCCTGTAACATCCGTAGGCGGCCGCCCCTCATAGCTTCCCGAAACCCTGGATCTATGCAGATTTGGTACCCTGCTTCTAAGGCTTCTGGGCCCAAAGAACATACGATATAAGGCTTTTGGTATGTATTGCGCCTTAGGGATAGTGAGCCTGAGACAAGATTCGTTCGAACACCCCTTGCGAAACCGATCAACAGGTGATGGGACAGGAAAATGTCCTCTGTTGTGGGGCCTATACTACTGTAGTGAGCGGGGGGGCTCAAAGCAAGTTGTACAGAAGTTATAACCGGCTTGCAACCCTGTTGCAACCCCGTT